GGGGTCCGGGGAGGCGGCGCTGGAGGAGAACCCCTTCTACGGGAAGTACCGACACAAGATCCAGGAGCTGCGGAGGTGCGAGCGGGCCTGGGGGACATGGCTGCGGACGGGCATGAGGGGAAGGAAGGGCAGCAGGGAGGCCGGGACCGGGGGGCTGCTGTCTGGGAATGAGGAATGAGGGTGCTGGGGGAGGTGGGGTTTTTGGGAGGAGGGAGGTGGTTTTTAGCTTTGTGCCCTAATGAGAAAATTAATTAGTTAGGCCAAATGCTGCCTTGAAATAGGACGGGGTTTGGAGCAGCCCGGTCTAGTGGAAGGTGTCCCTGCCCGGGGCAGGGGGTTGGAGCTGGATGAGCTTTAAGGTCCCTTCTGGCCCAAACCATTCTGTGTTTCTATGGTCAGTTGATAAGAGAGAGTTTTAGTAACAAGAAATTAAAAATCTAAGTTAAGAACATGAATCACTACCACAGTAAACGTTCTAAAAGGCCAAATGATGTTCATCCCCCAGTGCTTTTAATAGTCCCTTTTCCAATTCAGATCCAGTCCAGATGTGTTTGAATCCCGTATGGAAAAAAGAACAGACGTGAAAAAGCAGCCTGTGGGATACTCCAAGCAAGGAGAATTTATCAGATGCATGGAGGAAAAGGCAAGGCCAACTTTCTTTGTAATTCACATATATTAAAGCTATAATGCCATTTATATAGGGTCAGCATAATGCTATGAACATACAACATTCCCATTAGTAGGGAGCCCCAGAATTTCACTCTCTGATGGCTAAAAGTATTGGTCTGTACTCCAGTGTGTTACTTTGCTGGTTTTTAGACTAATTTCTGTGCATGAGGCCTCGTTTAAGTTGCTTAATTAGTTCCAGATTAGTTTAGCCAAATGGAGTGACATGGTCTTGCATATATAATTTTTTTTAGTGAATGCAAGAGAACTGTTCAATAATATTTGATCCAAGTGCATCATAGTTTGCTTCTAATTAATCCTTTCTGGCCTTTAAATTAATAATTCATATTAGATTACTCATCTTTCTGCTAATTAATCATTCATTATATTAAAAATGCCCTGCAGTGATCTTGAAGTATCCTAAACTTGAGCTCCTACTCAGGAGTTTTTTGTCATCAGGCATGTTATGCATAGCAGGGAAGGCAAATAAATGGTATTAAAACATCAGTTATAACAACTAAATAATGTTTTCTTCTAGGCAAAAGGTTTGGGCTCAAAGACATCTAAGGAAGGATTCACAAAAGACAAGGTGAGGGAAACAAACCAATGTGTTCGGAAAGAATGTGCTGGTAAATCAAGGATGTAGGTTAACTTGCATTGCTACCATCAGAGCTTCAGCCAAGAGCTTCTTGACATAAAATTGATGTTCCTTATGCTGTGATTGAGTTCAAGATTTTAATGTACTTTTGGGATTGTGTTTGATCTTAAACTCCTGGCACTCTGAGTTTTTAGTATCCTGTTGTTTCTCTCTGACACCCTGGAAGTTCCTGTTCATGAGAGAATCTGTACTGAATGCTCATAGCAATAAATAGAAAAGGATAAGCTGCCTGTACAACATGTAAATAGATTTCCAAAGATCAGCCAGCAGAGGGACAAGAGACTCGTTTTATTCTCTTTCGTATTTCTTGTATTTTGGCAAACTTTCTGTGTAAATATGTCGGAGATGGCTGAAGGCAAAAGCTGCAGCGTCTGTGGAGATCTGCATAGCTGGAGCAAAGTGTGTTCTGTGTCCTGAAAGAATGTCTTCTATGTTGCCTCAGTGTGTGAATCCACTTCTAAGTGTGCTACTGCTGGTGATTTACTGGTTTCTTTGGCAGTTAAGAGGCCTAAGTCACACTGTAAACTGAATGAAGCTAATCTAGCTTGAGTATGTTCTCTAATTGCATCCATTCATTTTGGATTCTCACTTGAATCAGAGAACTGCCATCATGCCAAATTCCTTATGCTTTCTCTTACAGACACTCGATTCAATTCTGAATGTTGAGATGGTGAAAGAAAAGTCAGCGGAGGAGATAAAACAGGTGATGGATTTAAATGCAATAAAGTTTGCTCTACATCTGTGCTTAATAATCTGCATGCAAGGATGGAAATTTTACTTGGCTATTTTATTTTTCAGTCTATGGATGTATATTTATAAAAAGCACATTGACGTGCATATTAATAGTAGAAAATAGTTTTCTCCATATAGGTAAGCCCATCTGGGGTGTACCCACTTGATACATCTGGACTTGATTTCTCAGAAACTGACTCTCCTGTAATTCTTATTGTTGTCATTTAATGTGTAGCAGTTGAATTGGCATTAGCAAGCTTCTGTCAGGTTTGAAGCCCAGTAAAGGGAAAACTTAGCAGTTCATATGGATTATACTATGTCTGTTCTACAGGAATAAAACCAAAGCTTTTGCCACCTTGTATCTTTGTTTGCATTCTGTGTACTAAAGTTGGTTAGGGCAAGAAGGAGGTGGGTGGGTCTGTTTCTTTGAAGAACAATGTGAATTGAGTTATTCTTCCTGTTACCTGCTTGGCTTTGCACTGTATTCCCTTTTACATAGTTATAAGTCACATCTGTTGCACATTTCTGATGTAGCTTGAGTTGGATCTGGTATTTTTTTTCCTTATCTGTCTGTATGTCAAGAAACTTATGTAGGCACGATCATTTGAAGGAGAGCAGCACATATGAAGGAGCCTTCTGGCAAAACTTGGAGAGTAGAAACTTTGTGGCTTTCTTGATAGCTTGAGAACATTATAGAAGTAGGGATGGTGTGCAACCAGTTATAGCAGGGAGTGGTTTGATAACTTAAAGTTCCCTTTGAGTTCCTCTACTTCTGCTTCATTGATTGAACATTTTACTGACAACTCTCATTAGTTCTGTAGGACTGGGAAAAGCAATTGAAAAAGTCCTGGAATCTGGGCTTTTACCTGTGCTTGTCCATTTATTAAGTACTCTGAGCTTTTGTGCAGTTAGTGCTATCCTGCTGTGATGAAGAAAAAGATTGTGAACACACTGGAGCATTATGCACAGACTTGTCTTCTCTTAAATGTTACACTTAGAAGTGTATTGTGTTAGCAGGAAAATCAGTCAGGTTCGGTTGAAAAACGACTTTTCAGAGTGCTTGCAAAGGTTAGTTGACAAATGAAATTTCTTTTAAAGTATTTAGTATTACTGCTTTTAGCTGTAATAATTTAATATTTGAATTATTTAATTAACTGTACACCAACTCCTTTGTTTCCTACAGATTTGGAATCAGTATTTTTCTGCAAAAGATACAGTTTATGCTGTTATTCCTGTAAGTAGTTCCCCTGTAGTTATGCACTTGAAAGGCCAGTGTGCAAACCTTTCCTATGATTCTGTTGCTTTTAAAAGCAATCACTGAAGGAAAATGAGGTTTCAAGATGTCCTGGGTTCAGCTACAGCAGTCATTTTTTCTCCTTCTTAGTAGCTGGTGCAGTGCTGTGTTTTTGACTTTCAGTCTGGGAACAATGCTGATAACACCGATGTTTTTAGTTGTTGCTAAGTAATGTTTACTCTGACCAAGGACTTTCTCAGTCTCATGCTTTGCCAGAGAGGAGGGGAAGCCAGGAGGAAGCAGAGACAGGACACCTGACCCAAACTGGCCAAAGGGGTATTCCATACCACAGCACGTCATGCCCAGTATAGAAACTGGGGGGAGTTACCCGGAAGGCCCAGATCGCTGCTCGGGTCGGGCTGGGTATCGGTCAGCGGGTGGTGAGCGGTTGTGTCCTTTTCCCTTGTTATTCCTCTTATCATTATTATTGGTAGCAGTAGTGGTTTGTATTATACCTTAGTTACTGGAGAGCTGTTATCTCAACTCGTGGGAGTTACATTCCTTCGATTCTCCTCCCCATCCCTCCGGGAGCGGGGGGAGGAAGGAAAAGGGGGGGAGCGAGCGAGCGGCTGCGTGGTTCCAAGTTGCCGGCTGGGCTTGAACCACGACACAAGAACAAGCTTTCTTTCCAGATTCAGTGGTCTTACTGCCCCAAATAAAGTCTGAAGGCTTTTTTCCCCCACTCCAAAAAAGTGTACCCCTTTTTTTTCTCACTTACATCAGTCTCAGTAAAGCCAGTACCTTTTTCTGCACATCTGGCATGAATTTCCAGGCACATTTTATTATGAATATCCAATACTTTTTGCAGGGCCCTGGTATCTATTAAGGTAGTGTTTGTATTTTCACATCATTTTTCCTCAGAGTTGCTTATTTCTTTCCTCTTTTCCCTGCAGCCTGGACAGCAAACTCCAGTTGAACAGGGCAGTACTAGAGAACTTGGCTAATGACTTGCACGTGGCTAATCACTTGCGACTTACCTTCATACGTTTAATATTATTGGCAGCACTGTCTTTCATTGAGACTGCATGGTGCTTCCTGTGATAAAATCTTACTTCTTATTCCTGATAGCTTTACCAGATGTAAATTGTTGTTAATCTGCATTAGGCTGAAGGAGGTTTTTTTTCACTTTTGGGATTTCTTTTTATTCTTTGCTCCAGAGTCTCTATGTGATTGTGATCTCTTAAATCTGTCTTTTCACATCTGGGCACGAACTGCGCGTTGAGTTTTTGAAACCTCATTTAGATCTGAGGTCTGATTTGCAATTGTATTTGACCCTACGAGCTCCAGCTGAAGTCGGTGGGAGGCTGTATCCTAAATGTATGAAGTGTTGTATACCCTGAACATGGCAACGTGGGATTTGAATTTGAGTGGCTTCGTGTTTTGGTTTTCCCAACATACGGATTTTGTGAAAACAGTTTGAATCGCACATTTACTGCAGGAGAAGGCCAAAGCCAGGGACTCCAGTTAAGATGGTATAGGTCTTTCATTAGTGGGGCTGGCACTGTTCTTTGGTGCACTGTTTTAGAGGAGCTTTGGAAGTTTTTTAAGGCCTTAATGCAAACCAGGTCATAGGCACATTAGGAGGTAATTCATGGTGTCATTGGAGGAGGGGAGAAAACCCTCTATGTCTTTTGCCAGAAGCTTTTTGTTGGCTGGAAGAAAGGCCTTGCCTAATTCTTGAATGCTCAAAAGCACACATAGGGGAATTTCATGTTGATGGATGTCATATGTTTTCTTTCCTGAACACCTTAATGTGCTGTGCTTGGAAGAAAAGAGCAGACTAAAGGTTTGGGGGAATGTAGAGAATATGTGAATGAGATTACCAGGTTTCATTGGGGATGACTAGGTATATTTGTGGTTTTAATATAAACCTAAGCAATAAGTATGTTACTTAAGTAAATATCTAGGCTGCATTTTAATAGTGAAGAATAGATGACTGTGATGTAAAATCCACAATTTGAGGCCAGGGATATGTCGTCCTGCTCAACTGTTAACACCACAAGATGCAGTGGAGCGTCTCACTTACATTACATACTCAAAGAGGACGTAATGTAAGTCTGAAGTGTGGGCCCCCCATCTCAAAGGAATAAAGCTTTGGATGCAAAAAGGAGTTTGCTGCTGCATCTTGGAGACAGCATTGTTAAAACGGGATACCAATGACATTTAGGTAACTAAGAACTAAATACAGTTTTCCATGCACTCATTGTTAGCTGCTCCCGCAGTGAGACCTTCTGTAGATGGAAGTTGTACCCTATAAAGGTTAATGAGATGATTCTGAGTTATTGACTTTCTCTTTCTCCTTCCCCAAAGGCAGAGAAGTTTGATTTAATATGGAAGAGAGCCCAGAAGTGTCCGTCGGTATGTATGGCAGAGACTCACAGTGCATTGATGTAGAGCTGTAATGCATTTCTCCTGTCTAAAGCTTAATTCATAAACTTTTGACCCTCCTCTATTCAGACTCATTGTATCACCTTGATTAGTAAAATCCAGGTGTTCAAATATTTGTCTTAGTGTTTGGATAAAAGCAATGGCTATTTATATGTATTAAACAGTTTGATCTAGCTATCAGATACCTAGTTATGAGAGAGGTAGGGTTCAGCAAACAAGAGCATAGAGTCTCCCAGGGAATGGATTTAGCTACATGCCTCTGGTTTCCATTAATTGACGTCTTGTGGTTAAGTCTCTTCCATGCAGTGTTGTCAAAAGCTAAGCCTTTTAGGTCAGCTTCACTGATGTTTCCACAAATCTTTCCTTATTGCTTAAAGCATCCTTGCTTTAACCTGCAGGAACTGTTGTTGGCTATAACTACGTGTCACCATGGCATTATGTTGTGCGTACGTGGAGAAAATGAGTTCTCCTGTCTTAACGGTTGCTGTGAGTTGCTCCTCTTTTATGTTTCTTTTCTGGCAGTGAGGATAGGCAGGAGTATCTGAAAGGAAAAAGACAAGAAATCAACGCATTGGGGTTCTGTCCACAGAAAGAGCTGAACCTTGTTATCTGTTAGTCTGCTTTTCCTCATCGTAAATGTGCATACCCATGCTTTCTGCACCACACTGGTGATGTATGATAGGTAAATGTTGGTAAGCTAATAAAAGCTATTTGCATGGAAGCCATCCTGGGCAGGCACCTTGCTGTGTCAGTGATGTGTCTGTGTCTCTAAGGGAGTGTGAGTTGTCAAAAAAGCCTATGCGTAAGCTCTGTTGCACAGCATTGTAATTCAACAGCTGTGATGGAAGGAAAGCAGGAATTAGGTGTAGCCAAACCCCTTATTACAGATACAGAGTAAAATACTCTGTGGGTTGTCTTAGGTGTATGCCAGTATGGCAAAGCATAAAATACTGAGAATGGATAATAGGTTTATTTCAGAAATGAGTGGATTCCCAAGATTTGGGTTCACTGTTTCTCATGTGGGTTGGTGGATGTCTTGCAAGCTTCAATTAGAAGATTCCTTTGTGAATGAGCTTGTTGTTGCTTTGAAGAAGTTAAACTACAAAAGAGCAGAACTAACAAGCTAAAGGATATCTTTTGTTCTGTGCTGCTGGATTAGCATTGTTTTCAGCTGAAAGTAAGTTTTTACAGTAACTTGTGCACTGAAGCTTGGACTTTGTGCAAACTTTGCTGTGCCGTCACAGAAATTAAATGCTTCATTCCTTTATGAATGAAGACTTATGAACCTAGACTTCACTGCAGTAAGAGGAGTGCTTTTGCAGATCTGAATGGGAGACTTCACTAGATGGATGGATTGGTCCTGTATGTTCCCCTTGCCAAGAGCAAGATCAGATATATCTGGCTTCCCGAGCTACTCGGAGCTTGGAAAGTTATTTATAGCTTTAAGTACGTATCTGTACAGTACATTGGCATTTAGTCAGGTGTCCTGTATGTTTTTTTTCTCCCATGTTGTCCTTTCCCTTCGTGTGGGAAAATGAGCAAGTCTCAAGCCTATGGAGCTGAATAGATTGTAAATCTCTAGAGAGAACATGCTTGCTGCCTGTTCTGGATCAGTTGGTGAAGTTACAGGATTACAAATACTCTGAATGCTCCTTATCTTATATTTTACCATTTCTCTGTTAATTTTCTAGAAGTGAATAGAAGGGTCAGAGTCTGAATGTTCTCCACTGTCCTGTCCTTTCCTTTCCCTGTCTCATATAACACTGATGAAAGTATGTGTCAACATATTTGCTAATGAAATAATACTGATAAGGTAATGCTGGTTTATTGTCTGCTTCCTGCTGCCCTATCACTCCTGATGGGGCAAAGAAACCCTTTTTTCCTGTTGTGATTCTCTCACTAAAGCATTTATGCTGGAGGCCAGTATGACACAGGCACCATTTTCTTTGAAAGGCTTTGTTTGAATTGGTTTTACTAATTTTTTAATCATTTCTCTACAGTTTCTATATGCTTTGCCAAGAAAAGAAGGCTATGAGTTCTTTGTGGGGCAGTGGTCAGGAACAGAATTGCACTTCACTTCCCTAATAAACATTCAGGTGAGTGGGTGAAATATAAAGTCCCAAAGATCCAGAAATAGATAATATCAGCATATTACAAGGTCTAATATTTGCTAAACAGTTTAATGAACAGGTTGTGTAGCTTAACTTGAAAAGAATTATCAGGGAAAAACTGCCATTAATTATGAGTAACTTAATTAAGGGTAAATTAGTAAGTTTGTGGGTATTAAGTGTCTCTAAAGGAGAATGAGGTAGAAGTCATGGTCAAACCATCTCAAAATAGAAGCAACAAGCCAAACTTTTCAGAACTGTTTGTGTAAGCTACTTAAAACACCAGTAGATGCTGTAAGATGAAATGTCTTCCTGGAAATTGTGGGTTCTTTTAAATGCAAAGTGGTCTTTAGTCAAGAAGAAAACACAACCTAACTGCAACTCCCTTGCTTTCTGTAAATACCAGAAATAATGAAGTTTTAATTTGAACTGACCCTTAAGCCCTGAAAAGTGACTGCCTCCATAGCAATTAATACTCAAAGAGAGCCTTCAGATCTGCAGTTCTTCATGGGATGCTGACGGGTTTCTTTATCTCCTTCAGACCCAAGGTGATACTGCCCCTAGCCAGCTGGTCCTGTACCATTTTCCTGATCTACAGAAGGAAAAAGGGATAGTTTTAATGACAGCAGAAATGAACTCCAAGTTCTTGGTAAGAGAAATCTGCTCATTGACTTCCTTCATCTTATGCTGCAACTCTTCATACAGTTTTGAATTAAAACCAAATTAAAATGAAGTCTTAAAATACCTTTTCCCAAAGAACGGTCTTATTAGATTTCTTTAATCTAATCTACTTAGTACAAGGGAAGCTAGAAGGAAATCATCAGTCTTTGTCTTTCTGGTGATTTCAGCTCTTGCATTCTTTTGTTTTGTTCATTACTTTTATTTTTTTTTTCTTATTAATAAAAGCAAATTAAAATGAAATGCACTGCTACCTGCCAACAAGTTAAAGCACTGTTTTGAATGCTACTTGTCAAATCAGGAGACCTCCAGTGCTTCCTGTTGTTTCCATGCACCTTTGCTCTGTTCTCTATGTGTGGGTGTGCTGTTATTTGCATATCTGCAATAGTACAGTGCTAGGACTAATTGTACCAGGGACTGCACTGGTGGAACAAGATAACTAAAGCATCCCATCTCTAACTGACCTACTTACACCAGTTCTGAAGCAGTGTGCAGAGGAGTGTGTAGAGAACTCATTGGTAATGCATTTGCCCTGTTGTATCTCAGAGTAAACAGTCAATTTTTGCGAATAGGTCAACCGTAAGAAGGGAAAGATGAGACTTTGGTGCATCTCCAGTGTCTTAGGGCGGGCAGGGATCATGAAAGATGTATTTGACCTCTGAGGTGTATGCTCAGCAGGAGGGTAGTTCAAATGCACGGTGCTAAGCGTGTAAGTAGGTCAGGAACAAGAGGGAGGTAGTTTAAGAGATTTGCTAAATTAAGGTGACTTGGCATTGAGTCACTCGATGAGTAGGACTGCAGCTGCTGAAGAGTCTTTTCAAAGGGGATGCTCAAACACAAACCCCAGTGGTAACACACTCTTTGTTTTAACTCGCAGGTGGTGCACGAAGCACAGTGCTTGGCGAATCAGGTGCAGCTTTTCTATGCAACGGATCGTTCTGAGACCTACGAACTAGTGGAGACCTTCAACCACAGATCTAGTGAATTTAAATATATGTCAGTTATAGCAGAGCTTGAGCAAAGTGGGCTTGGAAGAGAACTGAGACCTGGTCAGGTTTCTGACACATCATAGAGCTAACCTGCAAGTGAAGCGAGCCAGCAGCAGTGAGGGTTTCCTACATGGGGTGGTCCTGTCCCTTCTGGTTTACAGATTTGGGTTGGCTGCAGAAAGGATATGGAGACATCCTGGGAGTGTCAAGCCTGTGTGGCACTCATGCAAGATGAGGACTTGGGCCATTTGAACAACAGTAATTGCCCAAATGGAGCCTTGTAACTTCCATCAGAACAAGCCATTTTCCCATGTTACTGCTGCATGCTGTGTGTTTGAAATCTGAAGTAAAGTGACAGAAGGGAAACTCTGTAATGGTCTACAGTGACATCAGGAGAGAGCCAGCAACCAATGCTTCTTCTCAGTAAATGCATTTTAAATACCCTGTGCCATTATAATTGCATGGTCCAGTGCTTTTTAATCTGTGTGGAATTTATACAGGCTTGTCCATCAAAAAAAGAGAGTAGGACTGATGGTCTAACACAAATGCCTCTTTGTTGCTTTGTGAGGTTCCTTACACAGATGTGTACTGTGGCCTGTGTTTTTCTCAGGATTAAAAAATAGAGTGACTAGATTTGTTCTGGGAACTTTGTACTTCTTAATTGATACATTAATTTCATCCTGTTTCTGTGTTTCTGTCTTAGAGATGCTTTTCTTGAGGTGTAGGGTATTACGTATGTGGTTTTATTCTTCGTTTATTTTTTAATAGTGTGGAGGAATGATTGCCTGATTTATAGAATTAACTATTCTCAGACTGCCATCTAATCTCTACAAATGCATTTGAAGGGACAGCAAACAGTTCTTGTTCCCATTTTAGGAAAGGCACTATCCATAATGAAAGCAAGATGGACTGGCATAGTAGCAGAGTGTGAGCCCCCAACCAGCTTCTCAATTGCTAAGTGACAACTCATAAAAAAACTGTATTGGTATGAATGTGCACAGCTGCTGCAACATGACAGTGATGTTGGTAAGGTGCTGGCTTTACAGGCTGCAGCAGGTTTGGTTTTTCAAAGCTGACTTCAACAAAAGGATCCCAAAGCATTTGTGCTTGAGCTTCTCTTGTTTTCATTCCCAGCAGAGGCAGCCAGTGGGTCTGGACAAGGGCATACTGAGCAGTGCGACGTGCAGCTTGTGCATGGATTACCAGCACATCACCACTGTGCAGGTGGACAACAGAGGACAGCCAGGAGCAACACCGAAATATTTCCCATGTCCACATCAAATCCCTGGCACTAGCTTGCCCTTAGCACTAATTATCCATTATGTGCAGGCCATGATGTACCTCCCCATCAGCCTGCTGAAGCTGGCAGGCATTCCCTCCTGTGCCAGAGAAATGGAGGCAAGCAGGGTATGCAGCTTGTCTCTGGGTTACAGAAAGACAATTTTTGGGGCAGGGCTGGTACCAGATTTTCTGTGCTACCCTTAACCATGACCTGATAAGGAGGTATGATTAGTTACACAGGGCTCTAGCACAATACGTTTGCTATTGGAGTTGTAGGACCCTGTTGCTGTTAATGCTGTTGCTCCATGCTTTCTCAGCCCATATGTTGGACACGAACATCGTTCAGCCAAGCACTAAAGGTAGACAGTAAGGTTTTAGTATTGGGATCTATTTTACCAGTGACTCACTTACATGTTTTCTTGCAGTGCATGCATTGGAATGGTTTTTAAATAGATCCCAAAGTGGAAAGGCAAAAGTTGATCATACTGCCTGCAGCCATTTTGCAAAAGGCTGCATTTTCTGGCTCTGGCAGAAGTGGAATGGACTGATGAAGGGAGCAAGGGCTTTCTTCTGCAGGTGAACTCGTGTGCCTTGAAGTGCACACCATGACATGTTTCCTTCTTCTGTCAAGGTGAGACCACATGGCACAGAAATGACTGATGTGGTGTCAATGCTCTGATGCTGTACTGCGATTCCCTGGGGAGCAAAGAGTTTGCCAGGCTTGTATGTATGTGCAGTGGCAGGGAGGTAGCTGAGGGTTTAGAAAACTCAAATCCTGGGAGCTATTCCCAGATCTGCTGCTGGGGACAGGGTTTGCTGCAGCCCCAGATAGTGTTACTGTTGTGTTTTGTCCAAGGAGCCAGTCTGGTGCACTGTGCCACTGAAATGCTGTTGTGAGCAGGGAAGCTGCAGACAGGAATTTCCTACTGTATTCCTGTATTATCTGTATTCCTACAGATTATAATGCCATGTAGGAATACAGATTATAAAAGCAAAGGCCCACAAGTTTGACACGGTGTGAATAAGCTTCCTAATTTGTAAACGGAAAAGTGGAAACTTCCAGTGCTTTTGGAAATACATATGCTAATGGCTGTGCTTGTGCTACAGTTAGACTTGAACAGGACACTTGGATCTGTGACGACTGCTGCTGTGGTGGAAATGAGGCTGTATCCCACTGAATGCTTGCTGTAAGGGGGAGTAACTCAGCTGAAGAACCAGCCCCACAAACCATCCTTGCTGCAGTGGTCTGTGGCTCCAGTGCCCAGGATGCACTCGTCCTGGCTGCCTGATGTAGCCTCAGCACGGGCTGGCCACGAGGATGGGTGCCTTCAAGCCATGGTGTGGACACGGACCCCCAGGTCCTTCTGTGGCTTTGTGTAAACTGGTAGCTGCACCAGTTTTAAGCCACTAAAATCTCACATAGGGTTTGTAAGATGTGATGTGCTCTGTGTTGAGCCTAAGGGCTGGTGAAAATACTGTTGGTCTTGGCATGGGGAGAGAAGGTAACTGGGAGAGTCGTGCTGTACAGCCACTAGGGGGAAGATGTGTCTCCTTACTCTGAGCTCACACACAGCTTCCATGAGCCTGTCTGCTCAGCTTTGTGAGCTTGAGGCAAGTTTTGTGCTGAAAAACCATTTAGATGCCCTGGCTGCTCCTATATGGTTCATAACGTAGTGGGCTGCACTGAGTTAGACCAGCAGTTCCCCAGCCCACTGCCCTAGATCCTGGATGAGCTGCCTTGGGAAGGGCAAACATCCTGCAATATGTTTCCAGGTCACTTCGCTGATTTCCACTTGTGGACCAGGATCTTCCTGAGCTGGATGTGTCTGTTTTAGTAGTCCTCAAGTGGGCATGTGCATGGAGGAGAAGCCCAAGTTGTCCTGTTGCCCCATGTAGGCTCCAGCCCCCTGCAGCAGGGACTTCACAGCTGAACCAAGTGCTGTAGGAGCCAGCTTCTTCCCTCGGTGCTGTCTGTGTCTGCCTCTGGCTGGAGGAAGACCCGGGACCAGGGATGAGGCCGCAGTTCCTTCAAGGAGCAGTGGAAGTGGATTTTAGAGCCAGAGCCTCCTTGTTATCAGCATCTCAAACTCCTGTGACCCCCAGCATTTTAGCAGGAAACCCAGAGCCCATCCTGCTCCCTGGGGAGACACCCTGGCCTGTGAAAAGCAGCCGTCACAGAAATCAAGGAAGCGCAGACTGAAGGATGGTGTTCCTGTGTTCCTACCCGCACTTAAAATGCTGACTCTGGTGCCTGTATTTTTCCCTGTGCCTTATCAAATGGCAAGATTCCAGTGCCCTCTGCTCCACGGCTGAGGAATTTCTCTCGCTATTGCTGAGCTTGTGTGGGACGTGGTGGAGCAGGGAGTGGGAACTGGCTGTTCCTGGTGCTGCATAGCCGAGGTAAACTTTAATGGGCACGTCCTTGGTCTCTCTGAGAATAATCAGCACAAACCCGCTGCTCCCTTTGCTGTGTCTTGTGGTCTGCACAGGCATGCAGAGCCTTCAACCCCAGCCTGGGAACAAGCATCTCCCTGGCTGATGGGCTGCAGGGCAACATGTGGCATGGGAGAGCCCAGCCTGGTGCTGGTGGGAGGCTCGCTGCACCCACCCCTCACGCAGCTGTGTCATGCCAAGCTGTGTGGAGCTGAATCACTGCATCGGGCCTCTTTCCATGGCCACCCGTGAGGTCCAATGGAGCCATCCAGCACTCCAGGCTTGTTTCCTTCCTTGCTTCCTTCCTCCTGATAAATTCAGCCATGCACCTGCCTTCAGGATGGGGTCAACCTCCCCCCTTCTTCCTTCCTCCAGGATAGACAAATGCCCTCTTCACAATAACACATCCCTCCTGCCCCAAACCTCCCTCTCAGACCTTTTGCTCTCTCCCAGGTGACTCCTGCCCTCCCTCCCTGTAGCTGGGACCCTCCATCCTGGTGGGTTTCTCTGCTCTGTGTGGTTTCCAAAACCTCATTCAAGGTGGTAACTCCCTGTCCAGGAGGTGCTGCTCACCCCCATGGACTTGTGGGGCTGCAGCTAACACAACTTCAGCCTTTGTGCTGTTTTCCTGGCCCCTCTCCTCTGGCTCCAGACTGCTGGGGATGGGAGGACCCCATCTCGCCTTTAAGTATTTTGGCTCCGTCTCGCCTGGATGTAAATCCTGGCCATGAGTTCCCTTCGGGATCTTTGCTATCCGGCCAAGCCCTCTAAATTTTGGATTTGTGCCCATTTTTCTGCTTGGTTTTCAGTTGAAAGTTTCCTCCTGGCTTGGCATTAGCTGTTAGGAGTTACATCTGCTCCACAGACCTCCACCTCCTGCTCACAAGGTCTGAGGACGTCCTGTGGTTTTCTGCATCCCTTGTGGAGAAGCACGGACACTGTCCTTGGGATGAAGGACCTTGGCAGGACTCGGGGTGGCTGTGATGTGCAAGCAGGGAGCATCCAGCATTGGGGATGCTCCTCCAGGTGCCAAAAAAGACTTTGTATTGCTGCTGCTGAACACACTTGAGCCAGGCTTCTACCTTTTCTGCAGAAACATGCCGTAGGTGTGAGACATCCCAGCCATCTCCTGTTGCAATGGGTGCCAAGCACGGGTGAATCCTGCATGTTCTCAGTGTGTCCTCTCATCAGCCTGTCCTTCAGCCATGTCCCAAACAGGTACAGGCAGGGAAGCAAGGGGCTGCTGTGGTGTGCAAGCCATGATTCTCTCTGGCTCCAGTAAAAAGCAACCTGCTAGCAGCTCTGCCTGATGCTATGGGCCCTTTGATGTCTTCTTTGCTCCTAGTAAGATGCTGCTGCAGGTAACAAACAGATTCTATTGCACCTGCACAAAACCAGTGCTGGGAGGAAAGGAGAGCAGATGCATTGTAGTGCCCAGGCTGAGCTCCCTCGGGGCTGGCTGCTTGGGGAGGCTGCTGGATACTGGATACAAAAATGACTGTTTGTCATTGCTGGGGCTGTAACTTTAGTTTTAGACTGTCTCTGAACGTTGTGCCTCAGGGGCAAACCCTTGGCATCAACATTACAGGGAAAGGAGTCCAGATCCTGCAGAGATGCATCCCACTGGATGGGGTCGGAAGGTGAACCCACAGCT